GGAAATGACAAGAGAGGCACTGAGGAAATTCATGGCGACAAGTGGACGACAATAAAGTCGCATGCAAAATAATGACTTGTCTGCTCTAATAAAAAAGGCTAGCTTTTAGGATTGAGAGTTAAATGACCTTTTCCCTGGTAAAAATAAGCTAAATTAACCCGATTTAAGTGAGTTTGCGATAGCGTTGGGGACAATTTAGTGCTACAAAATGTTACCACTTCATCGTAGTGGAACAAAAGTAAGCTCTTGCCCGGTTATGAAAATAGCCGAGGTGGGTGCACCACTCATAATCAGAGCTTTTTAAAGTTCCACATGAAAAGAAAGTCCAGCATTCCTTTACGTATCCATTACTCTGTGAAGAATGCTTCCTCTGAACATTAAACCACCAATTCAGCATTCCTGGCCTCAAATGTTTGGACTTACGAAACAGAACCCACACATTGAATACCACAGAATCGCTACCATAATTGAAGCCAATGTGGTGACAAAAGCATATGATGAAAGAAGGATTACTGGACGAGAGTTGTAATAACCCTGATGATGCTGCTGTTTCTGCGGATGTTGGTGATCAGTGGATTATAACGATGACATCAGTACCACCTGAGTCACCTGCTTGACATCGCTGTCTATAGAGATCATCAAGTGTGGTTGAGCATCATACCTGCCGTGCAGCACCATTCCGATTCCACTATGGGGCATACACCAACTCTAGTCAAACTGTTCACTTGCAGATGTGTTTCCTCCCTCAAAGTGTTAGCTCATCACAATACAGGTGATTTCATCCTACACTATCTTTAGTACGATCGTAGGGAATGCCTCGTGTGGATGAAGTTGATCAGTTTCGATTGAAGGTGCATGCAGTCATGGGGACACAGGAGATGCTAGACTGAAGTCAGAGGGTGATTCACTTACACGTTACAATAGATTGCCTATCACCGTCATATTTGTCACAGTAGTGGGAGTCAAGTTCGTATGATTCATCTCTGAGTGTTAATAGTTGGCACTAGTAGCTGTGTTGTATGGAGCACTCCAGTGTAGGGCACCTTGAGCCAGATGACAGATGGCAGAGCGAAGGATGAGTCAGGTCTCATGTCAACAAAGTTGAAAGAGTCAAGCTCCAACACCTGAAAATGGACCGTTTAAAACCCCTTCGTGGATGTCTGAATACTGAATCAGGGCATTGGTGGAGTTGTCACTCTAATTCAATCTTCCTGGTTGTCTAATACGACCCAGCAACGGCCACGTCAAATGCGTTACTGTGGATCGTTTCTGGTCACGCCTGGCCTACCCAAATGCATGTGTTTGTAGGTGCAGCGCCGATTCGGTCTGACGTCAGCACATCGTTTTACAACTCATCTCCTCACCATTCCTTTTTTCCAAACAAAGATAAAATTAGTTGCTTCAAGCGAATTGTGACAGAGAAAGCAGTTTCCTTTCGCTGCAAATTGAGCTGCAGTTTTCCAGCCACCGTATTGCAGGATAGCTATTTTTGCATTTCGCTAACCACCGAGACACTTGACTATCCCACTAACGGCAAATTACACCTTCTCCTCCTTTACCTCCTTCTGCGCCTCTTTGCATTTTGACTGGCATTTTTCAATCCTCTCATATACTCTGTTCTCCAGTTCTGTACAAGAGGCGATGCTTAATAGGAGCTGGGTGTAAAATCTCGCAAACCGCACTCTGTTCCATTTTACAGCTAAGAGGAACATCGGATTGTCTGCTAAGTTGCCACAACACTGCCAATCTCTACCTGGCACCTTCAATCCTAAAAGTAAAGAGAGCGCAATTTCAGACCCGCACGCTACTTGAGCAATGGAAAAGGCGAAACAACGTGTGCTTCGGGCATTTGCCGCAACTCTGCTTCTTCTAACGCTGTTAATGCCAGCGCGTGGGACCACTGATGCTTCAATAGAGTTGTGACCTTAGCATTGCTACTGATTCCTAATAACCTTCACAACTGATAAGCAAGAGCCCACGTTTAGGCTTTACTTTGAATTAAGTCTTTTAAGTTGCTCAATGCACTCGTGAGCTAGTTATGAGGGATTAGATTCGCCTTAAATAGCCTCTCTAACTTAACATTTGGGGGGCTCCGTTTACCGATTTCTTCGATGCAGCTGGGTGCCAGACTAATCTGAAGACCTTTTTATTCCTATCTAAGAAGGAATCGAAAATAAACGACATCATCATTGCACTTAGTTGATGCTAAGGCAGTCCACTCAACACCACACTGTGCTGCCCCTCCAATCTACTCAACGTGTAGGTTTGGGCTTTGGTTTGAAGCATGCAACTTCAACTTCGATGGCAAAAGTCTATACACTTTGTCTCACTTTACTGTCTGCCACTTCATCCATGGCGGAGTTGAATGGTGGAGGAGGACTATCCTTGCTTGATTGAGGCATTCCTCACCATCGCATTGGAGGTGCTGTAGGATCGAATCATCAGCACCTCGATGAGCAAACATTGGTATGGAGTTAACAAATCTGCAAGTGAACAGAAGCACCAGGGCTGCCAAACAGTCTGTCGCAATGGGATGCTCAAAATGGCGTTGCATGGAAAGGTGGGTTTCTTAGCCACACTTGATGATGTGCACACACACACCAGTGGCAAGCTGATGACTGAGGTGGCACTGACGGATGCGTGGCATATGATAGGTTTCGCGTCCACTTATTACCAGGATCGTCGGAATCATTAGGGATCCCATAAATGCCTTGAAGTGATTTTTGTTTAGCCGTTCGCTTAGGTCAACAAAGTGGCTCTGAATTTGTTTTGGATTAGGTGTTTTTAAGTGATCGGATTCACCTTCGTATATGAAAAGTTTTGGTGGCGATTACTGAACTGATAATCGGATGTTGAGTGGTGGTATTAATCACTGTTTCGTATGTGCATTTATTAAGAGTAAGGTATCATTTCACTGGGCACTTTGGAAGGCCTGCCAAAGTATTTTTGGTTGGACACGGTGACTTTGGAATAGGGATTACAAAGAGATCACTTGAGGTCGTATCGCAGTGCATCGGAAGTGGATGTGCTCACAGTGTGGTGGGATACTCGCCGCTATGCGCTGCGCTTGCCATGCATGGGATCTGTTTTTGAATCGAAAATGAGTAAGAGAAGGATTTGAAAAAGCACTATCATTGATATGATGGATGAAGAGGGCTGTTGAGCCCCAAATTAAGACACAGGCACTCATAACCAGGATGGAAGAACGGATAATTTTTTATCTAGCTGGAAGTACCACATGACAATCTTGAGTTTTGAAGACGGACCATGCCTGTTTACAATTCGTGGACCATGTACAATTCTCAACGCTTTCCTAATTATTTTAAGGCCTTTCATTTTAACATTTCTTTCTACTTGGTATTCCTATTTGTAGTCACGTTTTTAGCTTTTCTCTCTTTATCCTCTAATTGATGACAATGGGTGAACACTTGGGCACAAAATCAGAATCCCCGGATATGTTTTCTGTCTGAAATCGTAAACATCTGTAAAGTACAGATTATCAGACACGTACGCACGACAGAATGCATTTTTATTGTGACAACTTTGTAGAAAATGGTGAGAAAATGCAATTAGAGACATCAGGAGGATATGTTGCATCATTTTCGATAACACCACCTACCTCCTGATAGGTAGGAAACACCCATTGCCTCGACGACGTTGCTGACACACGTGTTAGGTTAAGAAAAACCGGCCTTCTCTCCTCGGCTTTTGCGTTGGCTGGATGCAGGAGAGGATGTCAAACCAAAGGCAGCTGCCGCGTGGTACATGAATAATTGAAAAGGACAATAATTTCTTAAATCCCAGTATTGCATTTAATCCTGCTCCTCCAGTGCAACAGAAAGCGAGCATTCTCTGCCCTCAACAACTGCATTTCTGACTGCAAGGTTGTAAATTGCGGTAGGGATAGATATCCCCGCAATTAGAGGAAAAACATTGCAGTCAATTGGTATTTCAGAGATGTCACTCACCCCAGACAACGTTTCTGAATTTCACTTTCGTCTTCCTGCTTTTAAGCAAAATCTTCTGCCTTACCCAAAATGTGGTTGACATATGAAAAGACTGACTGCACGTCATCATCTTGCCTTGAGCACTACCCGGTTCTACCCTCCTGGAATGTATTCCAGGAGGAATAGCAATTTGCAGTTATTTTGCAGCACACTGCACCAACAAAATGAGTGAGATTGTTGGCGATACGAGTCTACTAGGTCATTACCGGATCTGGCATGCAGTTAGTTGTGCGCAGCTCGTGGGAAGATTTGCTATGGCTAGATATAGGGATCATTAGCAAATAGGACCAGCAGAGGGAAAGCGGAAGAATAGGTGGAAGAGGAAGAAGATATGCAGCGTTGTACTTAATCGTAAAACTTCACTTCGCACGATTTGAGTAGCCAACTTGAAGGGTTGTGGTGTCCCATTTATGTCAACTCTACCCACATCCCCAATTTGCATACTACGTCTCAATTTAGATTTGTGCTTCCTCGACCGAAATGAGAGAGACCATAAAGCTAAAAATGGCACTTTCATTTAAGCGGCATGATAGATTTATTTTCTTTCGCTCTTAAATTTGTACGGGACCAAGAGGTCATTCGAATGGGCCCTATACGACTTCATTAGCCTTTTGTGGAAATGTGTCGACCTTATGAAGTGCACATTTTGTGATTAAATTTACACAGGGTGCTGTCAGATAAATTCACGGCTCTAATGGCATCAGAAATTATGTTTTAACTGCAACCTCCATTTCTGGTCTGGGAAACGTTGAATTAAACAGTACTCTAAATCAAATGTACGATTTACAAGATCTTTCGGCTGTCAACTTGTCAAATGAATCATTTACATGGTGCTCAATTTCGCAGTGTACTCTTCTGCTGTGAATTAATTCCTTCTAAATGTCATGGAAGGGATCGCGATAATTAGTTCGTCTATAATTGCTCAGTTACTCTAATAAAGTCGGTACGCTGCAGGCATCACGTAACGCCAACACAGTGTTCAATGAAATTTTTAACTGCAAATGTCTGCCTTTTTTGAACTTGACAATGTTTACCAGCAAAATGCAGGTTTAGATAGGATTGCCGGTGCTTTCAGGTAAGATGTGGAGGTGACTACACCCCAAACCATGCATGAAGTAGCTGTTTGGTGCAAACTAGGTGGATACAGAAGGCAAATGGTTGAAGAAATACAGCTTAATGCCAAACTGAAGCAGAAAATGACACTCTTCCATCAGAGTATAATTGAGATGAACACCTCATTCATATTTGCTTCTCCAAACATGCACCTTCATTTTCCTGGCCTTCTGCCCCTGATCATTGCCAAATGGCACTGGCGAGTTATCTTAAGTCACATGTCGTGAAATTGTGCACCGTTACTGATACAATAATAAGTGGAGCACAGCTATTGGAGTTTGACCCTGGGTTACCCCAAAGTACGCATGAGGTAAAGGGGTGTTGTTTATTCAGTAATCACATAGGGCTGCATAAGAGGCCGAAGTGTCCAGGACCATTGAAGCAGAACGAATCAGGCTGCATTCTCACAGCCCCTCTCTTTGTTTGCTTTGACTCAAATTCGATCCCTTTATTTGAAACCGACAGACCCAGATTTATTCATCAAAGATAGCAGTGGAAAGGAGTTTATGGCTTTTGGTCTGCCGTAGAGTACCCTGCAGTGCCTTCGCACCTGCCTAAAGGAGATGCACGTAAAGTGGTTTTTTACTTACATTCATCCCTGTTCGATTTTGCTGTTCAAGATACATCCTCTGCATAAATTGTTTAATAGCACCACAAAAAAACTTTATCAAGGAGAATGAAGGGATTTGCTCTTCGTGAAGAGCCAATTTTGAGCACTTACTCAGTGGACTCAAGTCGTTTGCATTGAATCATTTTCGGGATGTGTGTTCTCCCCATATTTAATGATGTTACCGTCGACGACCGCACAAAAGCTCAAGTCCGACTCAGCAGCACTGCACTTGTCGATGTGATACAGCAAGACAAGATAAGAATGTCAGTCAGCAGGGCAGCGATAAGCAGTGCACTGACAGATTGATGTGAATCTGTGCTATGGAATGCATCAAAGAGAAGAGCAAATGAGCAAATAAGCCTTACAATATAATCCACCTAAGTAACTCAGGCCATATCTGATGTCAAATCGGTATCACTCAGACAAGAAGCTTTTAATCACAAAGCAGTAAATGTGTACCCAACCTCAAAACGTCACATCATATCCCATCAATAACGCGTTTTATGGGTGTCAGCTCCTTTGTGGCAATTCGGCACCTTCGTCGGAGGTATGAGGTCCTCTAGCATCAACACTAGTGGCAGCTGAGAGCAATACTTCGTCTAATTTTTCAGAAAAATCGATTTTTGTTCACTGGACAAATTTGGAAAATAAAGCTGCTGCTTCTTGCTGCAGTTCAAGCCACAGTTTTCCAGCCACCTCCATTGCATGATGGCTACCTTTTTGCACTAAGCTGAACACTGAGACACTTGACTTGTTAGGTGGGAGTTGTCACACTGCTATCCAAGAAATAACAAATTGCACCGCCAACTCCTTCATCTCCTCCTCCTTCTCCTCCCCCTCCTCCTTCTGCCGCACTCTCACGGTCACCTTTTCCAAAGGGATTATGAAACGGAAATTTCTAACAAGATGACATCCACTGTAAGTTTTTACTTATTTTTACTAATCACGGAGTAAAGATGTTGTGAGGCGAGATAGCAGATCTGCGTTTAACAAGTAACATCATAGAGTCACGATGCGTTAACTGCTTGTGCCTGCATTCTGTCCGCAAACTGCAAACAAGAGCTCGGCTACGCCTTCTCTCCTGCCAGCTAACTAGAAGAAAAACCAAAATGCAGCACG